TTATTTATTTATTTATTTATGTATGTTAATTAATTAGTGTACTTGCATGGGATTGATTTGTAATTGCATATTTATTTATGCATGTTAATTAATTATTGCATTTACATAGGATTAATTCAGAATTGCATAAATATTAAAATAAGTAAAAATCCTTATTTAAATTATACTAAGTTTGAGAAGGGATTTTAAATTAAAGTTAATTGTAAAGTTCCTATGGCCTACATTTCTAATTTGTTGGTAAATCAATTAATTGAAGTATGGGCTTCCCCACGGATGACATCACTAAGATTAGATGTAGATAATTACTAGAACAAATTTTAATTTAGACGGTTAGAGGAAAGCTTAATTGAGCGTATGGGCCACCCCTCGGTGGACGTATAATCTTTTTCGTCCGACCTTAGGACCGAGAAATGGGATTCACATAGAATGCGATTTATTTATAAACTCCCCACGGGGTCCCTGAATTTATTGCATGACCAAATGAAGACCGACTATTAATTTCGTTCGTTATGAATTTGGTTTTGACTTATGGAAATTAATGGGCCTTTGAAAGCCCCTCTCTTGGTAGTGCTGAATAGAAGGGCGAACCACGTAGCACACTTACTCACGGTGTTTTGAGATGTCGATGAACTTAAGTTAATATTGTTTTGAGGATGTCAATATTAGCAGTTAAATTCAAAAGTGTTTAATCTGTAAAATTATTTTCGTGTTTCTCAGGCTATATACATCATGTCATTCAATCCGTTACATGTCGATTCTAAAGAAAAGCAACATGCTTATCCAAACTATTTGATTGGAAGAGGAACTTAGACATTGTCATGTCGATCACCATGGCTAAGGACACTCTTGTAAGGGAGCATGTCCAGAGGCTAATGAGGCAGTTCGTCGCATGGAATATGAGGGTTCTCATGTTCATGAGAGCATCAAGGTTTACATAATACTCTTTACGCTGCATAAAGACCTAAATCAACTTTGCTACAGTTATGATGGTTTTTTTCGGAAATTGTTAGTGGTCGAGCTGATTGGGGAACTTAAGGCGGCTGAGAGGATTATCCATGAGGAGCGTGAGATTATGAATCATTTATTTAATTGAAAAAAATAAGTGGACAAAAATAAATCAGCAAAAATTTGTCTGGAAAAAAATGAAACAGGCGGATTCTAAAAATTCCTTTTTTAAGGAAAAACGGATTCTCAGAATCCGTTTTTCCTTAATTCCGAGCAGAAGATGGATTTTCAGAATTCGTCTTTCTTTAATGACGTGATTAACCCTAATTAATTTAGTGTGTTGTATTAAACTTACTCTTTTGGTCAGTCTGTATGTTTTAGGCTGTTGGTTAGTCATCTTGTAGTTGCTTTTGTTGTGGGGTGCCTTTTGTTCTGAGTAGGCTAAGGATATCAGCATTTCTCCTGCTACCTAGTTTGCATATTTTGTTGGCTAGTTATTCTTTTGATTAGGGGTCTAGGCCATCTTTATATGTGGTTCTCATTGGCTTGGTTCATTGAGCAGAATGCTCTCGGTTGTATATTTCTGTACATTGATGATATAATATTTCCTGTCGTTGCGAAAAAAAACTATATAAAATTATATAAAAAATGTCTTTTCGAGTATTATTAACTAAACAAACTATATCATCTTCTTAACTAAACAAACTTTAAACGAACTTGAACTAAGCTAGTTTATCAAACAAGTCGAATTGTATCAAGGTCAAACCTAATCGAGTCGAGCTCACGAGCAACCTATTTCATGCCCAAAGAACCCGTTATTCATTCATACATGCTTAGAGCACCCACAATGCTTTGGGTTTATTTTACATATGTGGCATATAAATAGACTTAAGTCCTAAATGACATGGACAAACCCAAGTAAAAAAACTCAAAAGCTATTCAATGCAAAAATAAAATACTAGGTCTAGCATACATGACAACCAATAAAAATGCTCTAATATATTTTATTTATTAAAAGAAAAATTAAATGAGGAACAAATGATGAGTGTTTGAGTTTGTACTTGAGTCTAAAATAGACCCAAGTGTGGACTAGGTCTCTTTTTTTTATTGCCACATAAGCTAGACTAGGTCCACTTTTAATTGCATTGAGAAACACTTTATTATAGACTAGGTCTATTTTCTACATGACATGTAATTTTTTTCTAAGAGACCCAACACATTGTGGGTGCTCTTTCCCAATCGGAGGATCTCGTGTTGGAAGGGGTTTGCTAAGCTGGCAAGTCCGCCGATAGTAATAATAATTCTAGTCCCAACATCGTTATTAAACCAAAATTCAGGGGTTGTTATCTACCTTTTTCCACAAGAGAAGAAAAAGGTTGAGAGCTGTAATCACATGGGATGCTGTTCTGTTGAATGGCCCCTGCACCCCCCTCCCTACTGGATATCCTCTCTCTGCTTGTTCCGTAATTCTGTTTTTCCCTTTTCATTTTCTCCTGCCGACAATCATGACCTCTTAGCCATTATATGTGGAAAATTTGATTTGCAGAGGGTTGAAAGTCCGTCGAAAATCCGTGTTCTCCTCGGTTGAGTTCCAGCTGTGAGCTGCGTCTCCATGGCCGACGATAAGGTGAAGCCTTCTTGTTGTGTTTGTGGCTTTAATTTTGGGGGAAATGGGTTCATATTTTATTGGTAGATCTGTGTTCATGTCTGCGTTATCGCTGGAGATTGCAGATCTAGTGCTGTTTCGGCTGTGGAAATGTCACTTTATGTAGTTTTCTGGGGCCTAGATTCTTGTCTCAGATACCATTTTTGGAAAATTGGGAATTTTAGCTTCTGATCTCTAGTGAAATTCTTCTATGTATTGTGAGGAGCACCAATTTGTTTTCTCAATTTTGGTGCATGTATTGTATGATGGGAACTTTTCTACCTTAATTGTTGGTCAGATTTCCGAGTTAGGTCTTTGGTATGGCCGTGATTGTTGAAAATGCTTGGTTTTATCTTTTGTGATTGTGTTAAGTTTTGTATTGTTTGTGTTAGGCTGCAGATACTGCTTTGAGTTACTTCTTCCTTTGCTGCTGATCTCATCGAGCTGAATATTGTGTTGATTTGAATTTCTTTGATGACCGATTGTGCTAGCTTGTTTCGATTCGTTTCTTGATATCTTAAATTGTGTACTTGATTTATAAAGCAGTACCAATTGTGATGCTTGTGTATTCATAATATTTTCAGCTATCCATTGAGGTTGGTAATTGGGTAGTTGATTTAATGCTTCTGACTTGACTATTCTTGTAATGTGGTTTCTCTTATGATTGTAACTTCACAGGAGATGCCTGCTCCTGTAATAGATAGGAATGATGCAGTCACTGGTCACATAATTTCAACAACCATTGGGGGTAAGAATGGAGAACCTAAGCAGGTAAGCCATATTAGTACCCTCAATTTTCCTTAAATGCGTTTTAGGGTGTTGCTTTCATACTGTCACGTTTGCCTTTGTTGGGAGTCTAGAGCTGTTCATTTGAGTACATTGTTTAATGTTTTCAGCGCACCTTTCAGCTAGTGATTGAAGATTTATTAAGGAACTAAAGTATTCTGCTCAAGTCTTGTTGGATGTCAACTCTTTTTTAATCTTTATCTGTACTATGGAGTGCTATCTTTAGCAAAGCTAGTGTTTGTTCGTAATAGCATCCTGAAATTCACAGCATAAGGTATTTTAGGTAGAAGTTGGATGAGGCATTGGTAGAGGATTGGAATGCATATTCACGTCGTCTTTCTATAATGAGGAAAGACTGGAATGATGGAAGGAGAAATGTTGTGTTCATGTCTCAATTAATTGTTTCTTGATTGTGCAGACAGTTAGTTACATGGCAGAGCGAGTTGTGGGGACTGGTTCATTTGGCATTGTGTTTCAGGTACTCTTATGAATGAACCATGTTAATACTAATTTATTAATATCATGTTTCAGTTAAGCTTATATCGCATTTTGTAATTGAACATAGGCAAAGTGCATTGAAACTGGAGAAACGGTGGCCATAAAAAAGGTTTTGCAAGACAGAAGATACAAGAACCGTGAATTGCAGTTAATGAGGACCATGGATCATCCAAATGTTGTTTCCTTGAAACATTGTTTTTATTCAACTACAAGTCAAAATGAGCTCTTCCTCAATTTAGTCATGGAGTATGTCCCAGAAACCATGTATCGTGCTCTGAAGCATTATAGTGATATGAACCAGAAAATGCCACTTATCTATGTGAAACTTTATACCTACCAAGTAAGTAGAATATTTTCTTATCATGTGTCTGCTTTGAAGGTTGATGTGTTGAAAGATAAAAAAATAATACATCTCTAGTAGATATTCAGGGGGTTGGCTTACATGCATTCTGTTGCTGGTGTGTGTCATAGAGACTTAAAGCCTCAAAATATTTTGGTAAGCTTTCTCGACCATTTAATGAATTTATGTGTTCAGGAGCGTCTCTGTATTGATATCACCTTGTGCTGTTGATAGGTTGATCCTCAAACAAATCAGGTGAAGATATGCGATTTTGGAAGCGCTAAAGTATTAGTAAGTGATTGTCTTTCAAGTTCTCTACTTAATTGCATACTTCAATGTTGTAGTTCGATATTCTTCTCGAGAAATAGAGAAAAAATTGTTCTATATCTAACCATTTCGAATATCATTCTTGTCTGAAACTGTGCTGCATTTCTTCTAACAATGCTGCCTGCTAAAGGCATCACTGACATTTTTTTCCTTTCCAAATTTTAAAGGTAAATGGAGAAGCAAATATATCATACATCTGCTCACGTTTTTATCGGGCTCCTGAGCTCATTTTTGGTGCAACGGAATACACCACATCAATTGATATATGGTCGGCTGGTTGTGTCCTTGCTGAGCTTCTTCTAGGCCAAGTGAGTTGCCTCTTACTTCTACTATTACTGAAGTACTCAATTGTTTTCCTTGTATTTTTTTCATTCATATATATACTCATCTGACATAATAATGCACATTCTGCAGCCTTTGTTTCCTGGCGAGAATGCTGTGGGTCAGCTTGTGGAAATAATCAAGGTAAACCTCGACCATTGTTTTTGGCACTGATACATAATACTAAGTTACTGTTTTAACTTTTTTTTTTTTTTTTTTT